ACAGGCCATTGGATTAGTGCGGAGCCCCCGAGGAGATCCACTCTGAGAGGCAGAGGAAGTCCAAAGTATATGACCACCATAACCCCCGCAGTGCAATCCCATATCCAGTTAGAGAAATGCAATCTGGATCGCACTGTTTGAGCCTGTTTGTCTGCGGAGGTCAGCACAGGTGCAGACTTCATTCAATATGGAACTGCTAACTGTATTAAGACATGTGCTATCACAGACGGACTTTCTTCTCCAGGGATCTGTCAGTCAAGTCAATCTGGCAGCGAAGGGCCCCGTAAGCTCCTGCTGTGAGTGCAATTGTGTAATCAAAATGTATTAATTATGAATCAAAGACACACATCAGAAAAAAATAAGGGATTCAGACGCGTTGACGATTAATTATTTTTTTTTACATTGTGGTGGGGATAGATTTCTCAACTTGTTCTTGTTGTATTTCAGTCACAATAAGTGGGGGCGGGTCCCGGCTCAAAAGTGGCCAAAATGACATGCGCTGACATGCTTGCAATACCACCCCGGGCCTGTGGGGGTGGACCCGGAATGAGAATTATTCAATGCAAACATATAGCATAAGCCAACCTCTGGAAAACGTCTTTACAGGATGGTCCAAAAGTTGGCTCTTGGCCCAGAGCTCCGTTCCACATGTGTGTCAATGCTGAGGGGGGCGATTTTTTTTGGACCACTCTAGTTTACTCGCTGTGATTATTTGAAGGCACTCGTTAAATGAATGGGGCTTGTGCGTTTTTTTAACATTTTCCAGCCCCCGCAGCCATTTTGTAACTGCCCATTGACCGCGGAAGTTGTGGCCCATTATTTAGAACGGCAGAGATAGTCATATCTACGTCCGTTAATATTTACAGTCTATGGTCACAATATTCAGATCTGGCAACTCAAACGTTAATGTTTTTTTTCAAGTGGTGAAAATTGCACATCCGTAAGTGTGTGAAATGTCTTGTTGATTTGTATAGATGTAAAACACACAAGTTTTAACTCTATATACACATTTGCATTTGAATGGAGTTTTTCAAAGTGTTGAAGTAATTGAAGTTTGTTTTGACAATTAATCTATTATAAATGTAACCAGTGTGAGTCCATCTAAACTTATCTTATCTATTCAATGTCAACGTGTGAAAAAATGTGTTACAAAATGTGGCGGTATTATATACATACATATTTATTATTACTATTATTATTATTTTATCTTTTTACAGAATATCGTACGTTACCCAGCCCTAGTTACTCATTCAACAAGTGAATTTGCGATATGATAAAATGAAATACAATTTAAAAAGTTACTATATTGTTGCATTAAGTTGACTTCAGCAAATAAATCCAACTTGTTTTGTGGTAAACTTAGTGGTCACATTACTTTATCGATTAAATCCACTTTATTATAAAACACTTTCTTTCTTAGACTGAGTATTGATGAGCACATTATCTATGGTTGTACTCTTACACAAGTCAATTCTATCGCCGCAAAGTTCTAGCGACAAAACAAAAGCAATTTACAAGTTCCTCCGTTCCACCCCGGTAAACCTCACCCATAACATCCTTGACATCTGTTCGGCTGTTCCTCCGTTTTTCTCTTTTACCTTCGAGGGAATATCAGCATTTCCATCGCGGCGTGATTAAATGAAATCGTAAAAGGTCACAGAAATTATTCCTTGACTCCAAAAAGTCACATCCCCAATCAAAGTCAATGAAGCGCATCGCATTCTACATCCAAACGATAAGCGCTGATTACAAGCTGGGTTTGTGAGAGAGGGATGCTTTACCGTTGGTTCATTCTACTTCCGTCTGTCTCGCTGGGGAGGTTCATAAATCCCTATCTTCATTCGGCTCCACTGCCAAGGTGAAAACATGTGGTACGCAGCGCAGAGGAGTCATTAATAACTAACGGCTGATGTAAAATGTAGGAGACAATCCGATTTCTCTGCCTCTCAGTCTCCAGGAGATTCTCTTGTATATAGTGGTATCTTTATGTTTGTGTATCTCCAATGAGCTGCTGGATTTGATATTGAGAAACCCACACTTTCGCGCTGAGGAAGCAAACCCATAAATATCTCATTCTAATGTCTGAGAGATGTTATAGCAATCTGGAAAAATGAAAAAATGCCAAATTGTGAAGTAAATATGGTGATAACAATGTCTGATCTTTGGAATCTACAAAGTGTGTTTTTGTTTGCTTTTTTAAATCTTCATAAAGAGCAACAATATTGATTAATGTATTTGAACTGCTGCACAAAAGAAGACGGCACCACACTCCCAAAAGTCAACTACAACCAGACTTTACATATTGTTATGAAAATAGTACAGACAGAACAAGAACATAATATATACAACCACTTATAATTGCTTGATTTACAATGTACTGTATGTATTCCTTCAGTTGACTTTGGAATTGACTAGTAATACCATATGTCTATTCAACCATGTGTGTTGTATTTTAACAAGGACAACATACATTTAACTTGGATTAAGAAGAAGAGCAACTCAATTTGAAGTTGCTGTACCAAACTTTCAAACCACAGCAAAGGTATCAATGTGATGAATATAACTCGTTCCTTGGCTGGAAAACAGTTTGATTCTGTGACCTGTTTTCACATGCATGTCATTTTGTCTCATTATTAGTATCTCAATGCAAAAGAGTGAAAAAGAGAGGTCCAGCCACTGCAGCTCTCAGCCCAAAGCATCAAATAGTGACTCTCAGGGTTCTTTCTTTATTGATATTGGTATTTATTGATCTCACACTGGAGAGATTTATAACAATAGTTCTAAAAATAAAAGTAAGTCATAATGTTGTGGTCTGATTTTGTTTCCCCCACATTTTGCTTGCGGCAAGAGCCTTTCTGCCAGACCGCACTATTATAATATATATCTTATTTTTTTTTTTTTTAGTCAGGTGCCCCAGCTTTAGATGGCCATAACTCGCTCTTACTCTATACCTAGCATGAACTCATTTTTTTTTCTCCAAATATGCTTGAATTAAGAAATAAATTGCCTTGTTTCATTGGCAGATACTTGGTACTTGAAGTCTAATCTGAAAGAAAGTTTGTAATTCAAGTCAATGCTCTGAGAAAAAAATAAAATAAATAAAAGTGCTTTGTATTTTGCTGGTGTTGTTTTCCACAAAGTCAGTAAAAATGGATGAGCAGACAATGTTCTGGTCGGAGCGTGCAGAGAAGTCCCTGGCTCTACATCTATAACTCAGCGTCTCGCAGTCAAATTACAAAGTTTAGAGGGTAGCTTCACACATTGGAGCGTTGGAAAGAATGATAATTTAAAGAATGAGATCGAAGCTTTAAGCCAGACAAAGCTACATTAAAATTGTATGTGTTTTTTAATTATTTTTTTTAAAGTAAGTAAGTCCTTTTTACTATATGATTTTATATTATATTATAGCGCCTTTCAAAGACCAGAGCCACAAAACGCTTTACAATTCTGGGCATTTATCTTTCTCTCCCTCACTCTATGGAATCGTATGAAAGCTGGTTTAAAAACGTTGCCATGATATTTATAATTTCAAAAACATATATAAAAGACAGTTATTTTGTAGTTATCCAACAGAAGCATTGAGATATTTATACAGAGCTTTGATTATTTTCTTGTGTCGTTTTAGTCTATCTGGTTGGATAATCTAGAAGTCTTGAAGTGGTTAAAGGGAAGTCGGAATTTTGTTGTTGTTTTGTTAAGTTGATAAGTAGTAAAGGGGGCGGGGTTACATACGTATGTTTGTACTTCTTAAGATAAGAAGTACAGTACTGCTCCCTTTCGGACATGATTGTTTATTTTAATGTTTGCAGGCACCTGCGCTATCTTTGTCCTCCACATTCTACCACCCACACATGGGCTACTCAAGGCCGACACTGGACTCTATCTAACTCAGACTCACAACCCAGAACACCAGTTACAGTCCCCCCCTTCTACAGGTCTGCCTCCCTCTCTTTTCAGTCTATGGTGGTCTTCCCCTCCACCTCCCCAATCCAATCCAATCCAATCCACTTTATTTCTATAGCACATTTAAACGACAGAACAGTTCCAAAGTGCTGCACAAAAAAGTACACAAAAAATAGAATAAAAAATAAATAAATAAATAATCAATTTATAAAATCAATAAAATCATAAAACACTAAAAAAATTAAAAAGACACAGGGACCACACAACTCACGCGGTGTTAAAAGCCAGAGAATAAAAGTGGGTTTTAAGACATGATTTAAAACACTCCAATGTTGTGGCTGTTCGGACGTGGAGGGGCAGAGCGTTCCACAGCTTAGGGCCGACGACGGAGAACGCTCTGTCCCCTCGAGTTTTACTCCCCCACCCACACTCCCCTCTGACGCGCTATATTGGACGAGGCGGGTTAGAGTGATGACTTCCCTTCAAAGAGATCTGCATGTTTTCCACATGTACCGTGTCTCTCCCATGTTTGTTTGAAATATGTGTCTGTTTTGCTCTCTGCTGTTGAATAACTGTCATAAGGAGCGCGGAAAATTAGAGTACGCGGCCGGCCTTGATGCTTATTCATCAAACTGAATTTCTCCATCTGTGAGATAATCAAGGATTGATTGATTGATTAATTGATTATTTATTCCTCGAGGGAACAAATTGTACACACATTGTACACGTTTAGGTTTTTGTTGGTTTTTTGTTTGTAGTTATTTATATTATTTGGTATTGTCCGAATAAAGACTCATTCACTCATTCAGTCACTATTGCACATGTTTTTAGTGGTAGGGGAACCCGGAGCACCCAGAGGAAACCTTCGCAGACACGGGGTAAACATGCAAACTCCACTCAGAAAGGCCCTGTTGCGACCGTGATTTAAACCCAGGACCTTCTAGCTTAGAGGCGAGAGTGATATTTACGGATTGTCTATATGTGATGACTTGTTTATTAGTGTGTTAGTGCAGCTGCAGCAGGATTGGCATTGATTTCGGACTATTTTGTTAGTAAGTTTAAGTATTTAGGTTGGCCGGTGGTGTACTGACCCGTACCTCCATCTCCTTGAGCACAGGGTGGTCTTCGATCCCCGGGAACAGGACCCTCATGGCATAGGTGCGGTAGTCCAGGAAGGGGATCCCGGCTCCGTCCAGCTCCTGCGTCAGCTCGTGGATGTCCGTCTGCAGCTCCGCGAAGGCTGGAAACAAAGCATTTCTTAAAGATATATTGGACAAATAAGAACAGTCCAATTTTGGTCTTTCCTCACTTCCTAATTACATTCCTCCAAGACCTGTTTGGATCATTTGACTGTTTTATAATTTCATTGCCAAACACAGCAATAATTTTGTTCAGTCCTTTGCGATCTAAATATGACTGAGGTTGGAATTCCCAGCCATATACAACTACATTGAATTGATTTGGATTGAATTTTGAAATTTCAATTTGAATGTATTTTTTTTTATTAAATTCAATGAATGTGTGTATAGCCCAAAGTCACAACAGCAGTGGCCTTGAAGGACTCTACAAAATTGTTGATTTGCCAAAAACAGATCAGAGAATCAATCAGTTTGAACACAGGATATGCAATAATAACCAACACAAAGTAAGTAAGTAATGCAAGCAAGTAATGTTTATTTATATAGCGCATTTTACAGACCATGGTCAACCAAAGTGCTTTACAATGTTCAGTGATCAGAGACAAAGAAGCCATTGGTCAAGAGTGAGCAGGAAGACACCAATGTCCATGAATGTTGATAAATGACCATATATGTCTCAGACCATTATACTCTTTAGACTCTCCTGCATCGGCAAGGATTTTCTAAAAAAGTTGGAAACCTCTTGATTGACTATTCAGAGTCTACAACTGACTTTAGAATGTATTTACGCCGTGTTTGGTCCATTTCAAGTAAACCATCCAGGTCAAGTCTGCTACTTTTTGCATCCATCCATGGACGCTATTAAGCCCCATTGTGGAAAAGCAGAGATGCACAACACGTTTATTATTAGTGCATAATAATAAGCGGAATCTGCTCGCCGCGCTCTCACAAAAGGCCAGGGGAGTGATGCTCAGAAAGGTCGCGAAATGACCAGTAATTATCGAGCGAATGCAAAAAGTGAACATACATTACTCCATAATAGCAGCTTGTGAATCAACAGTTTTGCCATGTCAAAAGCAGGTCATGGTCGAGTGAGTGACTTCTGCGGTGGAAGAGAAATCTCAAGTCAAAGTCGCAAGTTGCAATTAGTGGAAAGCTTTTCATGTATAAAAACAAGATTTCTCTATTCAGCTGAGCAATTTAAATATCAACAAAGTCTTAAAAATAGTCCATATAACAGGAAACTGAAAGTCCATGAGCAAATATGAGGTAATACTTGCTTGAATTGAGTGATTTTAATTTACATTTTTTCCCTTTTTTTGTCTGTTTACTTCCTGTCTTTTATATGTACAAAGGTCTATTTACTTTTTGTCTGTATACAACTTTTTTTTCAATACGATTCATTATTTATACAGTTATACTTCTCTCCATGTCTTCATTCCCACAAACATAACCTAGGTTTTCTGTCAGTCATACCCCATTGCAAAAACTATCCCTAATACAATATTATTTTAATTAGTTCTAATTAACCATTTTGAGGGTCTCAAAACAAGATTTGCCAACGGAACAAAGTTTTTTATCCTTATTTCAAGAACTATTGCATTTTTATTTTCATTCCAAGATTCAGATTCAGATTCATTTATTTGCCATTTGCAGTAAAACCACATTGGAAAAACTGTGCAAGACTACCCTAGTGTGCACCAGACAGAGAAGACGGCACACACCAGAGCTCTTGCCACGGCGCCAAGGGACACACTTTTTGTAATCAATTTGCTTTGTCCCATTGGCTCAGTCAGAATGCGCTCGGATTAAGATACATTTTTGACTTATTTTTCATGACTTTTTACAGTGCATAAGTGTCATATCTCTCTTCTTACCCTTATGTTACTAAATATTACCTCCGCACACTATATATTCAAAAGACATATGGCAGACTACATTGACAACTACCATTTAGTTCTCTGAGAGCAGACTTTCACACCCCGGGACCCGCTCTGCAGACATGGCAACATCTGCTGACATTACTTTCCCATCTCTCCATGCCTTTCCTCAAATATTAGCTTTCCACATCGCGGCCATAAACATCTCCATTGACACTTGCCAGTCAGCAGCCGCCATTTGTGCAGCGCGGCTAATTACCCGTGACGGCTATAGTCTGGATGAGTGTGTGTGGATGACTGAGCTGCGAGCCCCCCGGTCTTCCCCTCAGGACACTGGGAAATCCACACTTTGCTAAGCCCCGCCCACTTCATCTGTTGTCTCCGCCCACACGGCCCGTCCCGCCACAGATGAGCAGCTGGGTGGGCAGCCGGAGGGGCGGGCTGTTAGGAAGGAGGAAGAGAGAAGGACTACGCTTCAACGGACAAGTTTAGATTCATGGCTGTTTCCACAAAGGAGACATGGGAGTAAATTGGGATGTGTTTAGTGGATTGTGTTGGTGAAGTAACTGTTGAGGAGGATTGTCTCTTTAAAGTCCAGAGAACACGTCTGAATTAAAACAAGATCCAGTTAAAATTATTTTTGTTTTTTTGTTATGCTGAATGAAAGATATATGTTTTAAATACATACTTACTCATTATAAGCTTTTTGAGGTGAACAGTAGAATATGGTTTAATGTATATCATTTGCAAAAACAAAATTCAAACAAAACTTAAAAAAAATATCACTTATGGTATTAAGTTTGCCTAAAGTACATATATTTTAAAAACATAATTCCATACAATGTTGTCATTCGATCAGAATGAGGGATCTAAATATTAAATGTGTGTTTTCTATGGGATTACACAGAGAATTATATTTTAAAGATGAACATGCGGATTTTATTTTGATTTAGATGTGGCTAAAATGTTGTTAAAAAGGAGTGAAGAAATAAGTGCATAAAAAACCTTTAAACGATGGAGAGATGTCTTTGTAGTTCCCTGCGTTAAAATTCTTTAGCTCTTATCTAAAGTTGGTTTCAGTATAAAACTTTCATCTGATTATATTGTTTGTGTATCGTAAAATGTGTTATTATGAGAGCTCTAACTGAAATAAAGTTTTCATTGTTCGGCTTTCTTGTAGGCACTGAAAAAAGTGATGAAAAATAAGTTACAGAATGCTGAATTTGGCAAAAGAGCTTTCTTAATTGTAGCACTTTGGACTGCTTTAAAACAAGATTTGCAGATGATCTTGTTTTAGGAGGACACAAGAAATGTCTCGTTTTAGGACGGTCAGAATGTGCTCAGATTAAGCAAAAACACTGGATTCAAGCATTACCTCATATTTTTATTCCCCCCAAATCTCCCTTTCTCTCTTCCATACCTTCCTTGCACTCCAGCGCCACCCGGGACTCCAGGTTGTCCATCTGGAGCTGCAGGCGTTTCAAGGTGCGGTCCGCGTCCCGGGATTTCCTTTTATAGGCGATGAGCACGGCGATGATGACCAGCAGGAGCAAGCCGCCTCCACCTCCGATCCCTATGATGGCGGGCAGCGTGAGCAGGCTGTCGGAGTAGATGTGGAGGGTCCCAGGGGAGTACTCGAAGCCTCCAGCACGGATCTGAACACACACACACACACGCACGCACACACACACACACACACACACACATACAAACAACAGGTCAGTCTTCAGTGTACACATGAAAAACGTTTCCTATATATATATTTGTTGTTATTTTTATGCATGAACACAGACACTGGTTTCACTAAACTCCATTGGTTCTTCAGGGTTTGTGCATGACAAGGATATAGTTGAAATAAACACAAAAAACAGTGTATTTACAGGTGAAACTCAGAAATTCTAAACCCAAAGTTAATGTATTCATTTTATAATTCAACTTGAATTCTGAAACCTATATATGATAAAGACTCTTTCCCTAATATAGTATGTACCACTGCTTGACTTCTTATCATTTTGATTATTAGGGCTTGCAATCCATCATCAAAACTGTCATTTTCTGAGATATTTTATAATAATAATAATAATAATAATAGATAATTGACAGTTCATATTCTTTCCCCATATACACGGTGGTGATAAACAACTACAGTAGCCACAACTGCCCTGGGGCACACCGACAGAAGCGTGGTAACCAGTATGTGCCCACATTTTAGGCAATGTGGGTGAAGTTTCTTGCCTAAAGCTGCACTAACTGACTTTGGGATTTTGAAGCCGCGGACCCGCTGGCCTCGCTCTTTCTGCTCCCCTCCCCGCACCCACGAAGCTATCGCCCCCCACACACACCCACTGTTGATACGGAGCTAGCCTCTCCCAATATGGATAATACATGGATATGGATTTTCACGTGGATGGCGTGACCATAGAACGATAGAACCGGGAAGCGCGGAGGAACGAGACTTTCTTTTGGATGGCTGTGTCGCTGTGTAAGCAGTAACCGGTGACGAAGACGAGAAAGTTTCAGGTTAGCTCCGCCGCTTGTTGTGCTAACTCAGCTGTCTGTGCTAACGGACCTGTAGATTTCTCACGAAAGTGGGGGCTAGTGGTCCGCTGTGATTGGTCACAATCCGCGACCCGAAACACATTCTCTTCCTTGTTTCATCAAAACTCGATCGAAAATATAATGTCAGGCCAGCACAAATCTGCGCTACTTTTTCTTCAAAAGGACGTATATCCCAATGCACTACATGGACATGGATAGCATTTTTGTAATTAATACGAAAATAAAGTCAGTTAGTGCAGCTTAAGGACACAACCACAGTTTGGTCATTTACAGGCGCAGTCGCTAAAAGCTGTGACCAAAAAAAGGATATATCTCACATTGTGTCATACATTATTCTCACATTGTAAGTTGAAAGACAGAAGTAAATAGACTTTTTAACCATATTTCACCTGTGAACTTCAGTAAAATACATAACAAAACAGCCAGGCCGGGTTGAAGACATATTTCTATTCATGATAATTATTGAGTTATTATGGCTGGTTGTTATTGCTGTGATTATGAAGTAAACTTATTTGCAGATAAATATACATGAGAACTCTTAATTTACAACTAACCAACCAATACTTTCTCCATCTGCAACAACACATCAACCTACAATCTGTAACCATAGAAACAGCACCACACCAAGTCGCTGAACCTGTGTGTGAGAGGCAACCCAGAACCTATAATAATAATAATGATTACAATGAAAAAAGTAAGATATTGATAAGATTTATTTACTAAAACTAACCTAAATTATGCTTATGAGTTAATTTTGCTTGAATGTAGTTGTCGTTGAATGTAGTTTGTCGTTGAATGTGTTGTTGATTTAAGATTTCTTTCTTATTTCCACACCATTTTCATTGTTTAGATAAAATCAGTTTGAGGAAATAAGTAAATAAAACTTGAAATGTATGTTTTTAAACTAGAATCAAGTTGGGGCTAGAATTATTTTATTATTTTCAAAAATCATGCCAATAAAACAAGACATATGTTCTTGTTCTATTGGCAGTAGTCTATTTTAAGCAGTATTTTATTTTCATATATTTTCTAGGGATTTTTTTTGTTTTTCCCGCGCACTGAATCTATAATTAAATAAATACGACGCAAATGCATAGAATATTCCATTTCACATCTAAAGGATTGAATGCATTAGATCTCTCCATGTCGGACACGTTTGGCATTCAGCGTTCACCCACTCCACTCATTCCACAAGCAATCAAACAAAGTAATCACCAGCTTTTAAATGCCTCCCCGAGGAGTAGGGGTAATTAAGAAAAGTCAAACACATGTAACTGTTTTTTTCCCCCATTACCTCCATTTACATACGCGCTTCCCTTAGAGACACGTACGCAAAGAAATCTTTCAAATCAGGCCGTCCACATGGGGGGCTACATACCTGATTCAAATGAGCCATGATTATCCACTCCCAAGTTCCTCTAAGTGCACTCCGGCTCGGAACATTTTTCAAAAGTCACATTTGGAAAAGTAAAATAGAGCAGCTGTTATATCAATAGAAATGCGGTCGATACCTACTAATTAAATTTGCAATAGTAAAGTCAATTAGACTGGCTTGTTTGAGATTAGGCAACCAATTAGCGGCGCGGACATGACGGGAGTGTGGGTGAGCTCGGAGGAAATGGAGTCAAGAATTAAGAGGCAAACTGTATAATGAGTGGAGATAAAAGGAACGCGCGGATCAGATTATTGCCTGCACTGGCGTTTTACAAGAGAACATGGGTGAACGGGACCAACTGTGGAGCCGAGGAACTTCTCAATGGATTATTTCAGTCTCTTTTCTATTGTATAGCCTCAGCTCAGTCTGCGTGTAGAGAGTGCTTTTGGGTGTATCTCGGGGTGAAACCTGCTCGAATGTAAATTACCTGTGTCTAGATCTTAAACTGTCCGCCGTTGAGACTAATGTGCCACCACTTTTGCCTTTTGCGGGCTTTTTCAAAATGGCCACGGGGCTAGAAAGTGTGAAAAAACGCATAAGGACACAGCAGCTAAACTAGACCCAAAGAAATATTCCCCTCAGCATTGACAGTATCTGGAATGTAGCGTTGGACCAAGAGCGACTTTTGGACCATCGTGTAAAGACGTTTTCGAGAGGAGAGAATACGCCATTCAAAAGCATTGGGTAATTCTCTTTCTGGGTACACCCCCACAGGCTAGGAGTGAGATGGCAGCATGTCAGCGGACGTGCTTATGGATCAACTTGATAAACACAACAAAGTCCACAAATACCGTAGCAGAAATGTTATAGTTGGATTATGTGGTCTTACTGCTATCTCATTAACAAAACATTTCCGCTCATTCCAGCCAGGAAGTTTTGCACAATCCTCGCTAAAGACGCACACACAGAAACACACAGACGCACACACACACAAAAATCTATGCTGCACGGACCGGTGATGCCGCTGCTATTCAAATTACGTTTTAATCTGTGTAATCAATGTCTTCATTTTTTAAGTAGATGTTTTAATGAAAAGCATTTTGAAGTTTAGTTTCTGGTTTCTGAATTGAATCATAAACTAAAGTAAAATATGAGATGAGTAAAAAAATATCAAACAAATATTCCTTTTGTTTCATAGCTTGGAAAATGTGGCAATGTCCTTTTATGTCACTCATAATGGCATTGTTTTCCTTCTGTAAGTGTAATATATATACTGTACATAGTAGGTAGCCTCAAACAGTCTATTTTATGTAGTACAATATATAGTATTTATTTGTAATACATAATAATTAAATAAACAGTTCCACAAATGTCCATGCAGAATTCTTGTTCTTTTTCATTAATAATCATTCATCCATATTTACTTTGTTCATTCAAGTGAATGCTGTTCTGATCCAATTAGAATTGTAACCTACTAAAGAAGTTGCTTCCCACCACTAGTATTATCCTATTTTAGACGTTGCACAACACGTATAATTACTTCCACAATTATAACTCTCACTTTTGTACAATTTCAAACTCAATTTTATACACTTCTTGTCACAGACTCTTGGTAATAGGCTCACGGCAAAAATAACAAATAACTTCCTTCGATAAACTCAGGGGAGGTTCACAGCTGCCTCCACACAGCTGAGAGTCGGAGGGGCACACTTTACTGTACGTCCCCCGAACGAGACTATACCCATCGGGGTCCCCATCATGTAGGTCAACATACATGGAGCAACAGCTGTGTGCTCCTGGGGACTCGCACACAAACCCAAACACAGGCCCGTACACAGCTGATCCGATCGGAACGGACAACCGCACCACCCCCGCCAATACTTCGCCGAGCTGCCATATTCAACGTGACATCCCAGTCCAAAAGAGGAAAAACAGAAAACAACAGAAGGCTGGGTTTGATGTGGGCCCATCATATTGAATAACATGGACGTGGTGACAGGGCAGTGGCTTTCGAGGTTTAGTGGTTGTGGCTGGTGGTGAATGTGTGACTCCACTGAGGAGGGTTGGGAAAGCCATGTCAACTTTTTCAAGGACGTTATGAATATTACCATGCAAAAAATGACATGGCTATACAAGAATTTAATTAAAAATATACTGAAATTGCATTATAAAAATACTAAATACTAAATACCAAGAAAATACTTTTTCTTGGTATCATGTTTGTCCCAACAGAAATATTGACGTATCAGACCACAAAAGGCTATCTTTATTCTATTAGAAAAAAAAATAAACAATCTTGTTTCCAATTGGCAGAGACCAAGAATGCATCCATGTGAAAACTAGGGATAGGAGACAAAAGTTTTGAAAGAAGTTAGATACCCCAGCTTTTATGTTTAATCTGACATTGGCCCCCTATAATGGCTGCTGGTTCTCTAAACTATAACCATCACACGACACATATTTATCATAAAATAATTTGCAGTAAAGTACTACGCTGATTACACCTGCCGGTTACTATGTGCACATGGAGAGCACAAACCCCCGCCATAAATAATATATTTAATTTGCAACACTTTATAGAACAATCCCTACAATTTGTCATTGGTGATTTATTTTCTTTTAACTGCATGTCACATCAGGAAACTTCCGATTATATATTTTGACAACCCTAAATGTCGAGTAGCACAAGCGTACAGATGGATTTTGTGTTGTTTTTCTCTT